TTATATACATATAGAGAGAGAAAGAAAGGGAGATAATGCATGAGTGAACTGTCTTTAGCCTACAAGAGAAGATAAAGGAAATATATGGGGAAAACAAAGGCAAAATACTGTGTTGAAAAAAGAAGGCAGATTTTCAAATTATTCTAAAGTATTTAATAATAATTAGAGTCATCCTGTACTTTAGCCATGAAATTGATTCTCTCACAAGTTTCCATGTTACCAGTCTTGTTCAGTGAAAGAAACTGTCCCACAATAAGGGACATTGTACAAAGGCAAGGAGCCTCAGGGTGATTACCTGACTTCTCACCAATCAAAAATTTTGTTATTCTAAAGCATTTGTTGGGGCTGGGGATTTAGCTGAGCGGCAAAGTGCCTTCCTGGGAAGTGCAAGGTCGTAAGTTCGATTCCTGGTACCAGAAGAAAAACAAAAAACAAAACAACAACAAAAATAAAGCATTTGTTCCTCTTTTCCTTTCTCCCTCCTTTCTTCCTTCCTGTTTACTGGAAACTCTTAGGAGTGTCATAATAATGTGAACCTTTAGTTTTTTGTGTCTTTTCAATTATATATTTGTGTGATCATTTTGAACATTTCCATCACTCTGGAAAGTTCCTGTGTCTCTTTGTAATCAGTCTTTTCACCCACACACCCCCAGAGACAACCACTTCTCATTTCTATCCTATAAGATAGGATTATCCTTAGATTTCATATAAATGAAGTTATAAAATATATATTAATTTTTACTTACTTGAGCCAAGAAAATTATTTTTAGACTTACACAGTTGTTGCATTCATAATTAGCTTATTCCTTTTATTGATAAATAGTATTCCATTTTACAAATACACCTCAAGTTACTTATCCATTCTCCTAATGATGTATGTTTTGGTTATTTTTAGTTTGGAAGCCTATTGAATAAGGTTTCTGTGCATATTATTGTACAGGTCTTCTTGAGAAAGCTGTTTTTATTTCTGTTGGTAAATACCTAGCAGTGAAGGTTGTAAGAGAGTAGATATGATTAACTTGATTAGAACTGAGTAACACTTGTACAGTGTCCACATCTGTAGGGAGCGGGTGAAGCTGGAAATACTTTGGTGCTGAGAAAAACATCTTGCATGAGACAGTTGCAGACATTAGTCACTAGGTAACCCTGTGTGCGTGATACTCACTTTGTCAAAAGTATAAATAAATGCCCCTATTGTTGTTAAGTTCCTCTTCTCCCATCCAGAAAGAAGGCTCCACCTGGCCTCAGCTTTTGTCTCTTGTCTTTATTTTGTAAATCCCCTCGCCATTTTTCCCTGAACCAGCAGAGAGCTGTGTGAGACACAGCACACATCTTCTCCAACAGTTAGCACCATCTGCCTTCCATTTTAGCATCTAGCGCATGTGAAGAAATATTATACAGTGGTTTAATTTTGTATTTTCTGTAATGACTAATGATGCTGAGCTTCTTTTATGGATATATTGGCCATTTATATACTGGATTAGTCTGCTGGTTGGTTTAGCATAGTTCTGGGTATGGATGGTGGACTTAATGAAGAAGGAAGACTCTCCCTGGGTATGAGTAACATCAATAAATAGTCTTAGAGTCTGGATGGAATAAAAGGGGAAAGAAGATGGACATACTGCCGTGCCGTGTACTGCTTCTCCTCTGCCATGCTGCCCTGCCGTAGAGCCAGCCAACTATAGACTGACACCTCTACAAATTGCAAGCTAAAATAAACCTTTCCTCCTTTTACTTGTGAGTGTTAGGTGTTTTGTCCCAGAAACAAGAATGTTACTAAGATATTCCCCTTAATGTATAATGTGTTGGTCGTGTGTCTGTTACTAGGACAAAGTATGAGATTAATAATCCATGAGGAGGAAACACTCATTTTGGCTTGTAGTTGCCGAGGATCCCACCACCAAGGGACAATTGTCAAAAACATCAGATTTCCATTTTCCACATACATCTCTATAGTCACATAAATATAAAAGAATGTTTAGAAATAATGGCACATAATTAAGATACTATATATGCTGTTTAAGTGTTGTCCCTTAAAATAAATTTAAATGTGTTCATTTCACTTTAAAAAGAGCAACATAATAAAAGGTGAACTTCACAGAAGAATCTTTACAAGAGATAATAGTTAGTGAAAAATGGTAATTGCTAAAGTTTCATCAAAAATGACATAAAATGTTGAATTTTTGGTGATTTTAAAAGCTATACATTTTCTGTATGTCTAGCTTTTCAGCGGCTTGCTGTGTCTTGCTGTGAGGGATGAAGGAACTAGTGCTTTCAACTGCTTTTCACCTTCCTTCCTCCTCCCAATTGCTCCCTAATTTTTCAGTTGCAATTACACATCACATGTCGTTTGTAACATTTCTATACCTTCTTGTCATGCATATATTTGCTTAGTCTCAGTTCAGTTTTTAAATGGATTCAGTTCTAACCATCATCTCTTATGTCATGGTCTCTGGCTTCTTTATTAGAATTCTTTATTTTTATTCATCTCTTGGTTGGCTAGTTTTTTCATCAAGTAATTTTCTCAAGAAGTGCTGAAGTCTTTTGTACCGTCTATCAGTCACCTTATACTTGAATGATGACCTGGCCGGGCATAAGTTTGTTGGGCTGTGCTTTCTTTCTCTAGCTTGCTGACATTTCCATGTCCTAGAATTGTGTCCAGCAAGTTTTTTTTTTTTTCCTTTCCTAATACTTGGTTTTGATTTTGTCTTTTAAAGTCAAACTTTCAGTTTTTGGACATTATACATGAGTTCTGTACCATTTCAGGCAGTGCACTTGAGACATTCTTACCAAGAAAGACTACCACAGCTATGGAGCTATGATGCAAGCTGGGGCATTTGGGGAATATTAATCATATGTCTTCCCTTTCCTTTCCAGAGATAATCGATGACCTTGCCAACCTCGTAGAGAACACGGATGAAAAGCTTCGCACCGAAACCAGGCGTGTGAGCTTGGTGGACAGAAAGTCAACCTCGTGTGGTAAGACATGGTAGTCCTTAGGGCTCTGCTTTTCTGATCTCTTGGGGATTTACTCTACTTTGTTTCCTGTGTTTGTGTAATTGCCACAGGAATTTTGTTGCCCTTCTAACAGCAGTATCGCTTGATGCAGCATTGATATTGCTAAAATGTGCACATATGCACATACATATATCCATATATGTACATATACATATATGTATATAGAATATATTGCACTTCATGTTTGGTATATTTGCACTGAGCAAGTTTTAGCTATTATCAAAGTAGGAAAAGTCTTCACAATTCAGCTTTCTCAATTTGCTTATCTTCTAATCAGTCATGCTGCTTGTCATATGAAATGAATACATTCATAAACGTGTTTGTATGTTTTTGTATTTACAACATGGTGGTCCTGAGTACATGCCATTCATGAAATCATAATGAATGCAGAATGTTTCTTGTATTGTTGCTGATTTTTTAATACCTAGTGTTTAGTATTTGTATCCAGAAAAGTTCCGTCTGGTAGAGCCTGTTCACAGGTAGGAGTCAGGGTCTTCTGTAGTCTGGGAGGAGCAGACAAGTAAGTTTTAGGCCCACTCCAACTAGAAAGTATAATAAGAGATCCTCACACATTAAATTGGGATCCAAAAGAGGAAAAAGAAAGAAAATAATAATACAATTCCTGGTAAGCTGGGGTCACGGGAATCCCTTCACATATATTTGCAATCTGGACATACTTGTATATACTCGGAGTAACCCAGGAAACTGCAAACCTTGAATTTGGTTTGAGACAGACTCACTCATCTCAGTACTAGTTACTTGTTAAAAACTAATGGAATGCCACTCTAGAGGAAAGTGTGTTTATTCGAGGTCTTTAGGGATCAACTAAATTATACTCTCAAGGGCAGTGGTCAGCACCCAGTTAAAGATAAGCTAGTATACATGAAAACGGTACGGCATGAGCAAGAACTGGCAACACGTCATAGAAAACAGTCTGTACAGACTTTTGGTATTAGAATTATCAGACACGAAACCCGGGCCTGGTGGCACATGCCTGTAATCCCAGTACTTGGGAGGCTGAGGCAGGAGGATCACTGTGAGTTCAAGGCCAGTCTGAACTACATAGGGAGACTCTCTCTCAAAAAACTGAAAATAAAAACAAAAAAAAAAGAATTGTCAAACATGATTATTGTAAAATCAGTGATACTTTTTTGAATTAAAAACATGACAAGCTTGAAAGCATCTTAATAGAACACAAAAGTTTTAAAAGAGGTCAGATAAAATTTCTAGAAAATAAAAATAACTGAAACTTGCAGCAGGTGATACAGTTCAGTGGTAGAGCTTTTGCCTAGTATGTCCGAGGCCCTGGGTTTTAGTCCTAGCACTATTAAAAAAAAAAAAAACAAAACCTTGAAACTCAAAATGGAATAGATTCTTGGTGCTGACAGAAAGGAAAATCAATCGGAGGAAAAATAGAAAAAATCCATCATATTTCCTTTTCATATATGCTGGCATTTAGAGGAGGTTATCTAGAATGCCTTGGAAGTTAAATTACAATCTTAATAGAAGAGGCATTTGGGGGGCACGGAGTTGGTCCAAGAGCCTCAAAACATAAAGAGTTATTTACCTGCTTTTCTCAGATGCAAGGCTGGATTGTTTTATATGTAAACAAATGCACACATATACATGAATATAGGCAAGGTGTGTTTGAACTAGTAGTGAAAGGAGATTAACTCCCTCAAAGTGTAACTTGATTACTGTTTGCTCGTGGCCCGTATGACTGGTAACTATGAGGACTTGAGGTGCAGGTAGCAGGCAGCACATCGTCATGCTCCTCAAAGGCTTACAAAAAAATAAGTTGTGAACCATGAAATGGCCTTTTGTTTCCCTGGCCTGCACAGATCTTCCTTGATGGTCTGCCATATCAGTCATAGATGCTTGAGCAGTGAGAGAATTTCTAGTTATAAATACAGACCAAATTGCAAGGGGGCCACGCAGGAGAAGGGCCCGATGATGAATTTGTTTGTTCGGTTACTAACAAAGGATTCAAGCACCTCTTTGTGGACCTCTCACTCTAGAGTCTGGGCTTTAAAATTTGTACTGAGATTTTGTGTGTGTGTGTTTTCTCCCTCCCTTTTCTTCTCTCAGTTGCACCCCAATGATAACATCAAGTCGAAAACAATATTGACATTTGTTTTTTCTAGATTCTAAAGGCAAATTAGACTGATATGTTCCCCTGGTACCTTGATGTATTTTCAAATCTGTTTCTTGTATTAAGGACATTTACATAAAAGTGGGATCTTTGTAATTGCAGTTTAAATATTCAGTGTGCCTGATCCTCATTAGAATTCAAAATAGAGCCTTGTCTGGGTCTGACAGAGGGAGCCAATTGTGAAAGCCCAGACTGAGAATTCTGAATGACTCCGGTTGAGGGACAGTCTTGCTTCTCAGCATATTGACTGTTACGTAATGTTGTCTAAGCACGTCTGTTGTGATTTTAGCAGCGTTCCGGTGTGTGGTTGGAGATCAGCCCAGCTGACCTTGCACAAACGTTATGGCAACCTAGAACCAGTGGGTCTGCCTCCAGCTCTCCTGGAGATGCAGCAAGGCAGTAGATAAAAATCGTCCACACCACACAGGCTGCTGTCTAGCGGACCTAGGTATCAGCTTCCTTCTCCGTAAAATGAGGATTGCAATTATAGGTTGAGCATGCCTAGTCCACAAAGTCAAATTATGAAATGCTCCAAAATGTGACCTTTTTTTTTGATACCACGAATCAAACTCAGGATCTTGTGCTTGCCAAGCAAGCACTTGTGCTGCTGAGCTATATCCCTGGCCCAATTTGAGCTTTTTAACTGAAAAAATGATGCCACAAATGGAAACTTCCACACCTAATTTCATGTGATAGGTTGCAGTCAAAATGCAAATGCACTAAAAATATTGTACAAAATTACTTTTGGGTTATGTGTATAATACATAAATGAATTTCATGTTATAAAATAATGCTGCATTGTATACCTAGAGCTTTTTTCTATATTTAAGTTTTATTTTGTTTTCTCTCAGGTAAAGTATCAGTTAGGATACATCCAGGTGCCAGAATCGGAGACTGGGGCTCAAATTGGAAGGTTATTTGAGGCTCAGAGAAGTGACAGCTGGAGAACCAGGGGACGGAGCAGCCATTGTCCTTGGGTGCGAATAGCCTGGGTTGGATGCCAAGGTCAGAGTGTCATGGCAGTCATGGGAGGTTCTCAACATGCCAGATCCAGCCACTTGCTCCAAAAGACCAAGTGGAAAAAGCAGTGAAGTAGAAAAGGAATTTATTCAGTGCAGCCACTCTAGGAAGGAACAGGAGGACTATCATCCTAACCCTGTCTTGCAGATGCTGACAGCTTCATGATTATATAGGGAAGGACCAAAGGGAGGGGCAAAAAGAATACATAGTCGTGGTTTTGGTCAGACTGTGGTCTGGTTGATCATTATTTCAGGTCTGGTTTGACAAGGTCCTGCTGGCTCTGGGGAAGTTGTTACTACTTGAGAGGGCAATTTTGGTTCTCCCTCATGGAGTTATTGCTCCCATTCAGGGAGAGAACCTTGACTCCCATCATGGGGTCATTGCCTTTCTGTGAGAGCAGCCTCAGTTCTCCTCATAAGGTAATCTGCCTGAAAGACTTGCTGTTCCAGCTGGGGATATGGCTCAGTGGTAGAGCTCTTGCCTTCCACGTACAAGACCCAGGGTTTGATCAAAAAAAAGCTTTGCTGTTCCTGGAATCTTGAAAATAACTTAGATATTCTTATCTTGGTGTCTTCAGTCTTGAAAGGGTATAAGAGAAGTTGGGTAAATGTAGGGCTAATTAATTTTGTTCTTAGCAGTTTTTAGACAGACATTCTTTAAGTGATTATCATGTATGTCTGTGTACAGAGTCAAGCAGGAACCTGACCCAAAACTTAGCAGTAGCAAAGAAAATAACTGCAGACCCAAGTGAAAAGTCAGTGCTATTAGCAAAAGCAACCTTTAAAGTTATGTTACAAAAGTTGCTGAGTGACTCTGCTGCCTCCAGCCATCTTGAGGGAGTGCCAGCCGGCCAGAGCGGGCAGAGAAAGATGCTGGCTCTCCTGGCATCCCGAGTGGGAAATGTTGCACTCCCTCCTGGCAGGATCTCACACGATGGGAGGGCCTTCAAGACATTGCCCATTACAGATAGATTTCCTAAGTAGACCTACTTCTTAGGATGTAAGCAATATTAAGCCTTTGAGATACAGATATTATTTCACCATAATGTGTCAGAAACTGTCCCCCACCATGAACTTAGTGACAGACCTTTGATAAAACCTAGTACCTCTCTAGCCGTCATTCTTCTTGAATAACTTCTAGGGTTTGAAATGTTCTCTGGCAGAAATAGCTCCTCCTGCTTGATTTCTGTGATCAAGCATTGTCCTTACTGCTTCAGCTGCTGACTCCTTTCTTCATTTTTCTCCTTGTCATGTACCGATGCCATGGTATGTTAGGCACTGAGGATGAAACATCAGCGCGGCCTCCGTCCCGGCCTTGTGGCACGCTTAGTCTAACGGGAAGGCTGCAGACCCAGGCAATGTGAGAAAGGCTTTGCTGGACATGCACTGGACACTGTTGGCTGCTGCGACAAGACTGTAAGCTCATTTCACAAAGCTGAACAGAATGTAGTGGGCAGGTGGGGGAAAGACGATTCCAGGCAATGAAAAGTATAGATTTGAAGAAGACACAGATAACACTGGGTTTCTCAAACAACAAATAGGGCAGGGATATAGCTCAGCGGCACAAGTGCCTGCCTGGCAAGCACAAGTTCCTGAGTTTGATTCCTGGTACCAAAAACAAAAAACAAAAAGCAACAACAACAAAAATCAAACAACAAATAGGGCTGCCTGGCTAAGATACAGGGCATCTGCCTGCAGGACATTGAAAGTACAGCGAGGCAGAGGGGAGCCAGGCCACGCACAGCCTATTTGTTTATTCAAGTTTCCCTTGTCTCTCATTCTTCTCCCCTTCCCACTCCATATTGAGGATGCTTAGTGCTCAGTCCTCAGATTTTTTTTTCCTCAACTCTTTCCAAAGGCCTAGAGTTTCCAAGCTATCTCACCTCCTATCCTGGATGCTTTCATGGGTACCTAGTGCTCCTGCATCTCAGACCGAGCTTCCCCCGCATCCCCAGACCTGAGTCTTCAGCTGCGGCCAGCCAGCTTCTCTTGACTGCCCATGGCGTCCCCTCACTCTGTCCTCAATTTCTCGTGCACTCGGAATCTTCCTCCTAGAATCCGCTTCCTTTGCCGTGCTTCCTATGTTTTTCGGGCTCAGTGCTTCCTCATCCCTTCTATTGCCTTCAGTGGCCAGACAGGAAGTGAGCAACTGTTATTATGTCCAGTGGCAAAGTAGAAAGCAAACAGCAGATTTCTACCAAGGAGGAGCACATGCCAAGAGTTGCCAGATCATCTGCTTGTTTATTTTTTAAAGAGAAAACTGAAATCTGGATCTCAAGTGAAATCTCCCAGTATTTTAGTGTTCACAGTAAATTCACATTTTAAAAAATACCGTGTGGGCCAAATAAAACATGTCACATGTACTACTTTGGGGTCTCTTTTCTCTATTTGTCCGGTCAACCCCAAGGCCTGTTTGTTCTAAACTCTGAACTCTCTCCTTTGCTCATTACTTTCTGTTCTCCTCATTCTATTTGTTTCTTTGTCATATTTATGTAGCCATTAAAGATAATAATGAAATATCTTTGTTGGTAGAGAAAAATATGTGTGATTGTAATTTTGATCAGATTTCTGTAAAATGTGGCCCTATCTTGGGATTAGTATATGAGCTGTCACCGTGGCAACCATCTCCCCAGCCCTCAGTATTGTACAAATAAACAAGATGGGTTCCTCTCCTTAAGAGTTCTTATTTTTTTAGCACATGCCTTTTAAAATTAGTTTAAAACTGTTTATCTCCCGGACATTTCTGGAATTTTTTAGCAAAATGACTTTTTTCTATCATAGAGATAGTAGATAATAAGTAGTAAAACTATGTAGTATTAGGGAACCAACTGCTGTAATCCCAGAGAATGCTATGACCCTCCAGTGTACATATCAGTGTTGTTCAAAATTCATTCTAGGAACCAAAATCTCCATTTGTAGACCTTTGCTTCCCTTGGCCCCTCCAAGTCCTTGCCCCATCCTGTGCCTTGTGGTTGCCCATGAAGTCTGTGTGATGCACGTGTTAGGTACTTGTGGTCAGAATGTTTTTTATACTGTTGTCTGCCCTGATTTTGAATTCTGAGTGTGGAAAAGCCTATTTTTCTGCTAATAGCATTTATTTGGGAAGCGGGAATAGGAGCAGTAAGTTCAAATGTTGATGCTTCAGCTTAATCCAGGCAAAATGAAGCCTTAGAGAGAGGCGCAAAATTGGAAACCCTTTACTTAATGGAATGTGATGGATAGAGGCTGACAGCCTCTGAACCGGCACCATGACCCCCTCAGAGACCTCCACGCTTCTTAGGAACTGGGAGGAGGCACTGATACTTGTTATCGTCAAGGGGTTAGAAGTGATCACAAAACACAGCCTTTTTAAAAAATTCTTTTTGCTTGATGTGGTTCGGAATGCTCAGGTATGATTTCTGAGCATTTTCTATTCTTACTGAGTAATAATTACACCATACAGGTTTTGATTGATGATGTTACTGGTCCACATATTTCTTCCTGTTTTCTGGTAATGTTTTTTCACCAGTTCATCTGCTCCCTACATCTCTGTATGACCAGCACGTGTGGATGGGGTTTGGAAGAATGTCAGTCTTCTTAGGAGAGAGTATATTTTGCATATTCGCAGTGTGCTTTGCTGATACTGTTTGTCTACCTACTCATGGGAGAAAGGGAAGGAGAAACCCAGCACCTGTTTCATTTTGCTACCCAGCCTAACCCTTCAGGAGTTCATCATTACACGCTCCGTGATCCTCATTTACATACTGATTTTTATTTATATTTGTAAATTGAAATAAAATGAGGAATTAGATTCTATTTATGGCTGAAATTACCCAACCTGGGTAAGACTGGGAAGGGGAGGAAGTCACTTTATGTCTTTTCACATGCAAAATCAATAGTTTAGATCAGATAATCTTTGCAGTTCTATCCACCTGCTTGAAGAAAATTAAATATCATTCTTCAATCTCTGACCTTGCGTTTTCTCCTCCCCTCCCCCGAAGTAACCAAATAAGGATTAGGGATCTAGGCAAGACCTCTGTGCATCTTTATCAGGTGACTAGTGCCACATTAGGTACCTGTGCAATCATACTTGGGATTCATCAGTGTTATAAATTGTTGTATTTGTCAAAAATTGTTATATACATGTATATTTTTTTCTTGTCAGAACAAAATAAGAAACATAGGAAAATATTTTAATGAAAGATAAGGAGAAAGCTTGGTGGGCTCAGTATGTGCTAGGTTAGGAGAACAAAGGATTGGAGTAAGGGAACCACCACTCCTATGTCTGTGCTCCAAGTAGATGATACAGGTGCTTATTTTCGTCTTTTAGAGCTACCGTTAATTATGTGCTTAAAATGAAGTGGTAGACTTTTTCAAAAAATTCCCTAAAATGGAATTTTTGGTATGGCTTTTCATGCTTCTCCTCCTTTAAAAATCATAATTACAGAAAGGATTAAGTGGAGGCATGGGTAGCTGATGGGGTTATTAAACTCACAGTTATTCACAGGTGTTATCTCTTTGTATACTGTAAAAAGTAAATTCTAATACTGCATTACCTTTGCGGCTGTCTAGCATTCACCGCCCAGTTTTCAGAGCCTCCCGAGCTCCCGCCAGTTGCTGGTGTGTGCTCAGAGCAGGAGATGCAGTTTGATTTTAATATTAGCTGTGAGCCGCATCACTGCTTGGAGAAACAGTAGCATTGTTAAATAAAATTACATAAAAGGAAATACAATTAAAGAAGAAATAGCAGCCAACAAAATTTTAAAGTAAGGTTTAAAATTCTCTGTAGTTTTAGAAATTATCACAGTGAAAGTGAGACTGCATTCATTTGTGGCTGCACCATGCACCTCTGCCCACTTGGCTGGTTGTGCGTCCACAGGTAAATCCCTGTCCCTGCTCCTGTGCGCTGCAGAGCACGCTTCCTGCCAGGCCCTTCAGAAAAACGGCCCAACTGCAGACCAGCGCCGCAGTCCAGAGACTTGGCCTCGATGACTTCTTTCTGGTGTCATGACATCGATGCCCGCTTGAGGCTGCGCATGAATGAAGTAGGAAGGATTGGCTGGCATACAGGAATTTGTGCTGGTTAGAAAGTGGAATTCTCCTTGTCCGTACCCCTTGGAAATGCGGTGTCATAAGCCCTGATATTAGCCGTAAATCCAGACGTAGCTGCCTTAATGAACATTTCTATCAGCTCTAGGGATGCATTAATTAGCTCCAACAGAACTTCACTGAGGACTTGGTTTTTATCTTTTAGTTCACCTTTCCTTTCTACTTCAGAGTCAGGTAGCAGCGACAATTTCCAGTCAGTGAACCATGTTAAATTCCTTAGAATAATTGATTTGGGTTTCATTTTAAAATCACTGTTGGTGTTCTTTGCCCATGAATCTAAACACTAAGGTCCATTTCTCTGGATTTAGCAGTAAATTGATCTTCGTGTCAGCCTTAGGTGTCAGCCGGGCGTGGGACCCCAGGCTCCGCCATGGCAGGCACTGTGAACAGCTCACTGTATCTCACTTTCTGCTGCTCTGGAGGTGCCTGCCGAGTGCTGGTGCTCACACTGCTCAGTCTGGCACGTGTGACTCAGTTTCCCTTGAGAGAGTTCCCGGCTGCCGAGCCTAGCCTCCAGATGCTCTGCAGCACTTGATTTGTGCTCCAAGGTGCCCATGTCTCTCTCTTAGCCCTTAAAGCAGTCACTCGTAAAAATGACTTTTGGATTTCTGCAAAGTCTGATTTTTTTTTTTTAAATAACAGTCTTATTTCTTAAAGATATGGCATCTAAAATTTGTCTTCATTTTGTTGACATTTTGTCTGGTATAACTGATTACCTGGAAGGAAAACTAACTGAAAATGGTCATTTTTAAAAATGAATAAACATGCCAGTGATGAATGCACAAAGGCCTGAACACTTGAAAATGGAGGAGGTGGTGAATTTCATGTCGTGCACTTTATCACAGAATTTTAAAAAGTAAATTTTAAAAAGTAAATTTTAAAAAGTAAATAAATACTTGATGTTCACCATTCTATGAAATCATCCACAGTTAGAATAATATTTCTAAAATTCCCTGGCATCTTCCAAATAATGTGTGATACTGCTCCATACAACTTTTTAATGTAATAGAATCATAATTATATCTATGTAGATTTGCCTAAACAAAGTAGAAATAGGAACAAAAATTGTTTCAAAACTAGAAGATATTTCAAAAATAAATGTAAATAAATTAAGCATTATTGTTGCTTTATTTTTCAGTACAGAGTTTGAACCCAGGGCCTTACAAGTGCTAGACAGGCACTCTACAACTGAGCTACATCCTCAGCCCTTTTAAACTTTTGATACAGGGTCTCACTAAATTGATCCTGAACCTACAATCCTCCCAAACAGCTGGAGTTACAGGCATGTGCTACCATGCCCAGCGG